ACGCACGTCTCAAGATCGAATCTTGGATCGACATCTAGTCAGGCGAATAACACCTTTCATCCCTCATGGAGCCAGATTTTAGTTTACTGGAGCCAGATTCATGTTTGAAGATAAAAGCACTGACTTTTTGTACGGCTTCCCAACTCAAGTCATTGTAGAGCCCACATACGCATTCAACGCGCCACTTCGATTCCGAATATAAGTCGAATGCGATGGCGCATCCCTAAGAGGGGAACGGTCAGCCTACAAAGACAAGACTTCATGCTTTGCCCTTCGGATCGTACGATACGGCTTGCTGAGCTTTTAAGTTCTAGGTCCAAGACAGATATGTAGGCATCCAAGGAGTTTCTACGGTTCAGAGTTTTCGTCACATTCGTGGCGCATCGCAAAACTTACACAAACTGGGCTGATTTAAGCAAAGACTTTGCCTTCCATTTTCACTTTAATAGAATACAATATCTCTAGAAGATTCGTGCAATTTGATCGTAAAAATTCCAGTTGTGAGCTTGCAAGTTTGTTGCTGACAGTTTTTTTCAAATCGGTATAGATAGATTATATTGCCTAATGACACGAAATGAACGAGTTTTCGAGATTGTAAAAGATCCGTATGCTATGGGACAGGAACTGGATAGTCCGCTATACTGCGTCCCTAGAAATTCAGGAGGAGTTTCCATGTCGGATGAAAATTAGAGCCGGGGATGATACTTAGCTTTTCAGCCGTTTTATGAGGGTCCCCTTGACTGCGGAACGTTGTTCCTTACAGAAACCCAAGCTCCATATCACAAGCTCATTTGCTACCTTTTTTTCATAAGGCATTTGCTTGCCCTAAAAAATAGCCTAAGAAAAAGTCATGGAATTTTTTGTACAGGACGATAACTGACTTGGTAGACGTTGACGTCACCTTTCTTGTGCGAACGAAAGAATGCCATCATTTCGAAACGATGATGCAATTTTGTTCCTGAAAAAATATTTTGTTCCAGTAGATTGCTTAACAATGTGACGTCATCTTATGCTTTCTTCACGACCTTTCTTACCTTTCTACGTAATGGAATTTGTTCGCCTAACGAGACTTACATACAACTTCCACAGTCATAGTCGGGTTGTTTGCTGTGATAAAAACGTGCAGCATAAAAATTTTTAAGACTTTTGGCTGAGAACAAGCACTTCGTGACGGATCATAGAGTTTTATGCATTCAATGCAACAGTAAAGCGACTTTCACGATACTTCGGGTTCCCTAAATGACCGTCTCGCATTTGTCCCGACAAACTCTTGGACTGCGGCCAATTCTTTTTCCTGAGGGGTGAAAGTTCTGCCTCAAAATCGGCCACCTACAGCAGACCGAATATGCCAAACACGCCAAGAAACAGTCAACGTAATTCTGAGTACTGAAACTGTGTTGTCTTGGAATGTGCTCAGCGCCAATCATTAATTTTTTTGGTATTTTATTTTGGTATTTTAGTATTTTAATAAAAGGGAGGGTGCATTGGCAATGGATAATGTCGCAGGGCACTATTGGACCATTACACGCGCGTGGTCCGAAAATCGAATCTTCCTCCGATCGATGCCCGTCAAAGACATCAAGTGCTCCAACCTTCCAGGGCCAGTGATTGGTACCAGATCTCTGTGGAAGGATAAAAACACTGACTCGAACATCGGATGCAATTCATTGCATAAGCTACTTATCCATTTGAAACGCCACTGATTCAGAATGGAACTCGCATACACGGCGTATCCAAAAATCGGATTGATTAACGACATAGAATTACCCCATATCTTTCTGTAAGTGAAGGACCTCGAAAATGCTGGCGATGGCACGAATAACTGCATTTCTTAGCAGTAATTGAGAGGAGAACTCTATTTCGAGCTGACTTATAACTGCATATTGTTTAAAAAATTCATAGTGTAAAATGTTTCCTAACAATTACAAAGCTTCCTGGCTGCTGTAAGTACTGCTAGCTAAGAAAACTGGGACCAATTTAGTAGGTGAGAACGAATGCTTCAACGACAGCACAAAAGTCGGAGTATAGCCTGGAGAAGTCCATCAAAACAACCTCAAAGCAGAAGGAAGGCAACTCAACAACGACAATGACTTATCTCAAAGTATCAGAATGGAAGAGTTTGCAGCCCATTTTAAATTGATTGTAGGGTCAAAAGATAGCAATCGCTCAAATCAGGAAAGATCTTCTGAACTTGTTGAATGCTGAACACATTCCGGCAAACTGGTTTGTAAACTGTCAACAGAATTCTGGCGGGACAAATGATTTCTAACCTGAACTCATGAAAAAGGCCCTTTCGCCGAAGGGGATCAACTCATTCACCAGAAACGAAGAACAGATGGAAGGATGCTCCAGAAGAGCCGGTTGGCCACACGATCACTTTATGGATTTCATCAGTCGGTGATGGTACAGGGACCTCAGAGGGATGACAGAGTACTGGTATTGGAAGCTGTATGCTTTTCGAGTTCTTTTTGGTGAATGCTAACCAGCTGTATTAATTATTTGACTAAGCAGCTGCGGACCTGTCTATAGAGTTTCGGTAGTCCGGTGGACAAGAGCGCAGTACCCGGCATACAGCAGATCGAGTTCGAGCCCGGGCGGAGTCCTGATTTCTGCCTATAATTCAGTCTTACAGGAGTTGTCAAAAATAAATTTCTGCAGACCAACGATCATGGGGCAGATGGTCACGCTCTCTACATGTTTACAGTATAAACTCATCTGCCTACCTAGTATTTACTAATACTAAAACCAGGTGTTTCTTAATGGGAACATGGAACCCTACATTACTTTCCCGCCTGCATAGGTAAGAACTATTGTGACTACAATCTGTATCTGATGTTTTACCCCTACTGGATTGACATACATCGCTGATAACTAGTTGACTGGATAACTTGTACCTCGTTTTAGCCCCTACCCCTACCGTAGACGTAAGGAGACTAAGAATCAAGAGGTGATGAACCAGTGGCTTCTCTGTGGAGTGCAAAACCATAGAGTAGACCATAAAAACGTTTTGAAAGCGATTTTTTTNNTTTTTTTTCTGCTTTTCAAGGAACGGAGCACGAAATGGATTGATTACAACGAATAAACTTTTTCATCGATACTCCAGTACCGTGACCAAGGCCATAACTAATCCTACTTGGCTCTTTTACTTGGCCGAAACTTGTTCTCTATTACCACTCTTTGTGACAATCTTAATGGGGGGCAAGATTCTTATCTCCATTTTTATCGATAATGAAAGTAGATCTAATTAGATCACTTTCACGAAAAAACACGAGAAGACAATAATTCAGTGGGACATTAAATTCCAAGTTATCTGGTTGACTATGTGCACCAGGTCAAGAAATTAAGATTTTGTCCTCGATAATTAAAAGAGTACTTCATCACAAACTCGAAAATGCACAGGAACATTATACCCCCGTCAAGATTCGCCTTCAAGGGGACGTTCGCCGTGTCTGTACAGTATCCGAGGGTTTGGAACCTTGGAACCTTCGCGTGTCTGGGAGGAGAGACGAGGGGTATCCAGAAATGAAAAAAAAACTCGGAAAAGCAAGTCCCCTAGCTGTATCAGATCATTTTAAAACAGTCCTCTTCACTCTTTCTAATCATTTTTTTATGCAAATCCTTCCCTCTCTTATAAATATGATTTCCTCCGCCCAAATGGTTAAGGACCACCCTGCTACGGATTCCCCCAACAGGAGCTTACGCTCGAGTGTGCAGCCAAGTCAAGAGCTTCTCGCCTACAGCGCCCGACTCCATTTCCGTTGTTTACGTGTGACTGTTCAGTTCTCTCCGGCCACTGCTGACACGGCTGCTCCAAAACCTGCCTTAAGGCGTGCTCATTTGATCGTCTAGCCTTAGAGATGAGTATTGATCGTAGTGTCCTAACAGTTAGTTACCGCCCAACTCAGCCCTGGAAGGCCCATTACAACAATGTACCAGTTAAACACCTTTACCAGGCTTTCTACTGCTTCAACTTCACTTGTTCTGCATTCAAAACTTCGTCAACTTTATAAAAGGGCTCAGTAATTTACGTGCTCGTCGGTTGAGTCGCCTCCGTGTGCTCTTGCATATCAAGAACATATCAGGAACAATTCTTCATTACCAAAATCGTCGATATCGAACTTTTAAGTAATGATGATAAATGTCATAATCAGATACAGACGTACACACGCACTGGAGTAATAATAAAACCGTAATCTGCAACTCAATACAGCCCGCTGTCAGAATCACAAACGATCGTAAATGGAGATAATCGATCTTAAGACTCTACGCAATCTCATATGCAAACTGTTCGAGTAAAATGAAATTTGTAGTGAGTATGGTGGCAAAAATATCCAAGCACAGAAAATATTCTTCTAAAACGATTAATCAAAAGCAAAATAATCAGTTTGACAATGAAAAAAAAGATACAAATACGTGTAGTTGACGGTGTAAAAGCCGAATACGGTAAGAGAGCTGACTGGATAGAAGAAACACCGTGAAAAAACGACTACAATTACTTACTTGTACGCTACCATCATAATAAAAACCTAGCAGAAATATAAGCACATGACACAAAAATAATATTCCAGCAGAATGTGGGCAGCGTAGGGAAATTGTTTGTAATTTCTTTTCGAGCAGATATCCGTATATCCTACCTATTGACGAGCTGGTGTGCAGACAACCAGTATGACGGTGTTCTAACATGTCTAGACCGTTCTTCTTGGCTAAGTCTTTGACACACATGATGATGACCTTATTTTGCTCGGTAATCAATGTAACAGTAAACACGACAACAAGTCGATAACGTCTGATCAACAACCCACAATTAACGCGTATTCACGACCGTAAAACCCAAATGAAAACCAATAGTAGTCGTAGGCAAAACAGCATCTGAGCAGATCAATTTTAAACAAGAGACAGAGACAGGATTATGAAGAAACAACTAAAAGCGCTTACTGCTGAACTGAGGGGAATGTCTTACTCAAGTGATTAATAGTAAAAAAAGTATGATAATGCATAATTCAAAAAGCTATAATAGTCCGCGTGGTACTCGGATAAAGCTGCTCCATAGCATGCAATGCATGAACCCTGAAAAAAGAACAATTTTCCTTAACCAGATTGATCGGCACCAGTGTGTAGAGCTCCAAAAAAGGAGCACTTTTGACTATCAAAATTGTTACAAGTACTCATTCTCCACCAATGCTCATATCAGGTAGAAATAGTAATAACTTGTAGAAACCAAACATAACTGTAACACTTACTAATTCATGCTGAAATCAGACTGCGATAGTGATCCACGTGAACTGCTATCATCCATATCGGACACTGAAAACTAGCTTTCATCAACAGAATCAAGGAGTAGATTTCAGAAATGAGGAGGGGGGATTGCCTGAGGGAAGGGAGCTGGGAAGGGGGCTACAATTCCTTTGAAGCAAGAAAAAAATCCCACATGAGCAATATAGCTGAATACTGAATGAAGATTATGGAGTAACTGAGGAACTTCTGAAATCATTAAGGACACACCAACCATTGCCATCAGCGTGACGAGATGTATGTTGAGGTACGCACGGTGGACCCATCAAGTCCGGTCGAATAAGCGATGTCATGGAATCCATTTTCGTTGAAAATCTCGATACAGCCACTTCGATATTTCTGCAAATATATCTTTTGGAAATAGTTACACTTAAAAAGACGAAAAAATCAAACCATATTATAGTGTCCAAGGTAAGAACTCAATGTTTGAGACTTGAGACACAAATGATTAAAAAACGCGAGGACCCACAAATGTAGAAAGATTTTTATGTAAAAAGGTAGGGAGAGGGCGAAGTCTCGCCTAGATATCGATTTAACTGACCTACTGATCTGCGTTGAAAGCAGATGAACCATTAATTACAGTAAGTTCACCTTCCCGTTTTGCACAACGAAACGGCATTGTATTTGAAGTGGTCGCACACAGGAAAAGACGTTTAAAAAAGGGTTGCACGGTAAACTCGTGTTCCACAGCCTTACCCTAGACAGTTCGTGAAAGCGATGATCAGCTTGTGATTTTTTTAACTTCGTGCAAAAACTAATGGTTTTTCGTCTTTGACTGTATTTTTTTCGGATAGTCAACCAAGAGTGACGGGACCTTCACTCATTTGAAGCGCAGGCAATTATGACAAAAAGTTCCCTCCACCCTACAGCATTTCCTGTTTTGCCGTTAGATTAGAAAAACTGATGATAGACTTCATATATGGTACACATCAATTCCGCGGACTAGATGGTTTTCCTCCCATAATAATCATTCTTCATTATTTTTTGCTGATGTTGAGCGGAAAACAAATACAAGATATTGTAATTTTAAATGACGTGATGTACAGAAACATACCGCGACATTTCGTTTTTCTCTTTGCGCAATGTGCTGATAACATCTTCTAGCTGACGAATTTGAGCCGCTTCTGAAAATTCAATGGTTTAAATGGCATCACACATTGAACAGCGGATGGTAAAAATCGATAACGAGAAACTAGAAAACATTGTAACTGTTAAAAAAATGAAAATCAGAATCAAGACGAAACGAAAACAGCTTATTTGCTGAACTCACTGTTCGAGTCCCTTTCACGCATTTCGGCCAGTTGGTGTTCTACACGTCTGAGATGCGATCGTAACCTTGCCACTTCAGAGCCGCTGCGATTACCACAATCCATCGGTCCACGATCATTATTCTCACTAAAACAAAAAG